ATCTTTATCAGGCCATCAATATTTTCTTACGCAAATTTCTTGTGGTCATCATTCCGCACTCCTACACTGCCCTATCAGTATCAACCAGCAGGTAATCTTGTTGCCGATACATTTGGGCGGGGCCCCTTCTAATTTTTGTTTCATAATTTTTGCTTGAGATATATGAGAAATCCTTGCCTATGCTCATATAACAATTATTTCTTAAATTTCTGGCGGTTTTTACCTCACATGGAATCATGCGTCATGCCTTCTTGAGCACTTCTGAGGAAGAGATTTTTGTTGATCTCGAAACGTGTCAAGTATGAACCATGCATGATCCATGGCTAGATTTGCAATACCACCTTTGATGACAATGCTGCAATATGAATTGTAGCTTTGTTTGTTTTTTAAGATTAGAAAAATATAAAAACTCTATATTGTTTATCTTTATTGAACGGTTTAAATTTACTATATAAGAAAATTGTGCAGTTAAAGTCCCGTCGAAAAGAGGACCCCCCCCCTTGTATTCTTTGGGAATGCTGACACCCTGTGTATTATATCTTTCTTTCTCTACTCAACCTGACATTAGTACACAAGTCTACTGCAAAAAAATGAATATTGAAAATTGAATATCATGTTCTCCAGCTAGGATCCATATGGTTTCCCCGTGTGTGTCTTTGTTTTTTCTACCATGTAAAGAAAATCATTATGAAAGATTTATTAGTATCCTACCAATGTTCTCCCCATAGTGTGTGTATTTTTAAAAGTGCAGGAAGGACATTAGATTACAGTATAAGCTATGATCAAGGGCAGCAACTGATGTGAATCGGTTTGTGTTGGCTGTAAAGTGTTTTATAATATGTAGGCCTTCTTTCTCTATGGAATATAGTAAAATTTATATTATTGACTACAAGTGGAAAACAATTAAAGAATGCAGAGGCTTAGGGGTTGATATACTAAATTTAAATAGACGGTTAACTTTGCAAGGGAAGTTGCATATTTCAAAAGATTTTTCCCTTCGCTTATTGAATGAGGTGAAGCTATTCAGACTTCATCATCCAATTATGTACAATCCAAAATTAAGTTTTTTTTTTTTTATTTTTTTAATTTCTTTGCATGTGATTAGGTACTCTTTGCAAAGTGAATTGTCACCACATTAACCACTTAAATGCTGGGCACTTATAACCCCTTCCTGCCCAGGCCAATGTTCAGCTTTCAGCACTGTCCCACTTTGAATGACAAGTGCGCGGTCATGCAACACTGTACACATATGAAATTTTTATAATTTGTTTCACACAAATAGAGCTTTCCTTTGGTGGTATTTAATCACCACTGAATTTTTTATTTTTTGCTAAATAAAACAAAAAACACCTGAAACTTTTGAAAAAAAAAAAACACACTTCATTTCTGTTATAAAATTTTGCAAGTAAATAACATTTCTTCATAAATTTAGGTCAAAATGCATTTTGCTACATTTCTGAACATAACAATAATAACTGAATTTGTATTTTTTTTTCAAATGTTTGCTTTATTTTTTTTATTTATTGCATTTTTCCTTTTTTTCACTATTTTTTTTTTTCAGCACACTGTGACCAAAGCAATACAATGTTACCATAGTAACATTGAACTACTCTGGGCAAATGATCAGCATTTTTTTTCTGTAACACATTATGATTGCTATTACCAATGTATTTCATTGATATTTGCAATCGTGATTGAATGAAACTGATTCATTAAGTCTTTTGTTGTGATTAGCTGTGATTGGGCAAAGCTGATCACATGATACAGATGGGCTGTGATTGGTTCTGTTTGTATCATGTGACTGCCTTGACCAGTCACAGCTAACAACATAATTGTATACAATGGATGGCATGGCAGGAAGCAATCCATTGTATACAATGGACGTGTGATTTGCTGTGATTGGCCACATGACAATGGCAACAGGCCAGTGTAGTGATATGTCATCGGCTGTGTCCCGTGGACTCAGCCGGTGACAGATCGTGCTGCTGCGCGGCCCCGCGGCCGTGTGAGCAGTTAGTTTTGACAGGACATCATATGATGCCCAGTTACAGTGGCGAGTGTCCCGTCCGGCCATCAATCTGCTATTGGCTGGGCGGGAAGGTGTTAACTAAGTTCTGGGGCAACTTCTCTCTTGAAAAGTGCAATTTCCTCTGCAAAGTGAACCGCCTATTTGCCTTTAGTAAATCAACCCCTAAGTCTCAAATAAGAACTGTACTTCTATGTAGGGGGATGCCACAAAAGTAGTATATATGTTTGAACAAATTGTATATATTGTAGAACGGTTTGATTAGTGCAAGTTGTTATAAACCGTTTATTGCATCTCTCGCCTTTCGTTCACACTCTTTAATCGAGTGATGCCATTCTGAAGGTGTCTATAGAGGTAATTGATTTTGCTCCAGCCTTTGTTATACATTCCATTCCTAATGATAAATGGCAAAATGTTAAGCAAAGTGGTAAATATAGAGTGCTTGATTGGGCGCCTTCATATCTTTGTGCACAGACCTGACACACTGAGGATCATGTGACGTCTGTACTGTCAGTGAGACAAGCAAACCTTTACATAATACCTCAGTTTTCAGTACTGTCAGTAATATGCAGAGAAAGCATTTGATGTGGCTTCTTTGATCACGAACATAGATTAAAAACCGCATGATTATTTGTGACACACACTAAATAATGGAAATTAGAGAATTACACAGAAGTACCATTATTCAAGTTTAAAATATTGATAGTCTCTATACTTTTACTTTAGTCATTTCCCACTAATTCAAATGTTAAAATAAACTATTTGGGTAGGCATGGCACATCACACTAATTCAATTACATTAGACTTTTTTTTATTCCTGAGCTTAAAAGTATATTAACCACTTCCCATCTGGCCCATGTGCATAAACGGGTGGACAGGAGCAGTGCAGGAGCGGGTGGCCATTTATAAACGGCCTCCACATTCACAGCTGTGCACGCTCCCTGGGAGTGCAGGGCACCGCGATCCGGAGCCTGCTGTGTTCTCTGTGTGAGGTCCCAATTATGTGATCGCTGATTGGCCAGTCAGTGATCACATGAATAGTAGTAAGCAAGATGTCACTTGACATCGTTAAAGTCACAGCATTGTATCTCAAAAAATGGCCTGGTCAGGAAGGAGGGTAAATCATCTGGAGGGCAAGTGGTTAATCCTTCTTTTTTTTTTTTTCTTTTATAATATTGAAGTCAAAGTTTGCCATCTGAAATGCACGACCTCTAAATAAAGTGAGATCCACTAACTACCAACCTCTACTGCAAAAAATAGTGCTGCGGTGCAAAGTATCAAAGGAGGTTGATGTTAGCAAATTATTTCAAAAGCTAGTTGTTAAAAAAAAAAAAAAAACATTATTTCAAGATTCCTCAGGAGCACATTACTACATTAAATTGTAATGCAATTACAAGTTTCTTTTTAACCTCCTTGGCGGTGTGATTCTTTCCGATTTTTTGTGCTGAAAGCGGTACCATTTTTTTGCATGGAAATATTTGGTTTTTTATTGTAGGCTGTAATTTTTAGGAATAACTCACTGAAATCTGTCCGAACAAGAGTCTATTAAACATTCCGGATATGATAAAATTTGAAACACGAAATCATAAATTATAATTTAATAAATAATCATAACAAAATAATAATATAATAATAATAAATTTAATTCAATAATATAATCAAATCAAAAAAACACTGAAATTTGAAATACAGAGGCAAATTTGCACATCGCTGGGCAAAGTCGCAAAATCGTTTTCAGTGTCTGATGACGAATTTCCCCACGAATCATTATCACTCAATTCTGCAAGTAGTTCTGATTTACTATCGCTGTTCTAAAACCGCTTTTGACGACACGGGACGCTTTTTGGACGCCATGGACTTTTCTAAGTTTCCAGGCAGAAAGAACATTCAAAATGCAGGCAGGGCACAGGACAAAGCAGTAGGGACAAAATATATGTGAAATGCATTGAAACAGCAATGACAGCAAAAATGAAATTTTTTTAAAATTTCAAATTTCCCGCCAGTTCCGGCGCCCGTACGTCCCGGCGTCACAGGGACCGGAACACAGAAGGCGGCATCAGCCGGAGGAGATGGCCGGGGACGCTGCAGGGGACACATCGTGGGAGCGAAGGACAAGGTAAGTGCTGCAGGGACCCCCAGAGCAACGCCGCATGGTAAGCCCAAGTGTAGCTCGGGGTTACCGCTCTTGGTATAGACATTTTACCCCGAGCTACACTCAGGAACACCGCTAAGGAGGTTAAACACTTTAAATCTGCAGCTTTCATTAACCACTTGCCTACCAGGCACTTATACCCCCTTCCTTACCAGGCCAATTTTCAGCTTTCAGCTGTCACACTTTCAGACAATTGCGGTCATCATGCAACTGTTGTTTCCTCACATATATAGCTTTCTTTTGGTGGTATTTATTTGCCGCTGAGGGTTTTATTTTTTGCACTATAAACAAAACAATTAGCAAAAAATGTGAAAAAAAAGGTTTCTTTGTTTCTATTATACAATTTTGCAAACGGGTAATTTTTCTTTTTTTACTGATGTGCGCTGCTGAGGCTACACTGATAGGCAGCACTGATGGGCACTGATAGGCAGCACTAATGAGGCGGCACTGATACGGCACGGATGGGCGGCATGGATGGGCGGCACGGATGGGCGGCACTGATTGGTGGAAGTGATAGGCGGCACTGATGATGGCTACTGATAGTCAGCACTGATAGGCGGCACTGACTGGCGGCACTACTGGGCACTGACTGGCGCAACTGCTGGGCACTGACTGGCACAACTTCTGGACACTGACTGGTAGCACTGCTGGGCTGCACTGATGGGCACAGGTGGGTGGCACTGATGGGCAGAGGTGGGTGGCATTGATGGGCACAGGTGGGTGGCACTGATGGGCAGAGTTGGGTGACACAGGTGGGTGGCATTGATGGGCACATGTCATTGACACAGATGGTCACAGGTGGGTGGCACTGATGGGCACAGGTGGGTGGCACTGATGGGCACAGGTGGGTGGCACTGATGGGCACTGGTAAGTGGCACCACTGAGCACTGGTGGGCGGCACTGCTGAGCACAGGTGGGTGGAACTGGTGGGTGGCACTGCTGGGCACCGATCATCAGGGCACTGATGATCAGTGCCCTGATGATCGGTGCCGATCCCTGCTCTGACAACTGCCGGTTCTCGGCAGTACTTTCCCCACATTCTGACAGCGTGAGGAAAGTGCAGCCGAGAACCGGCAGTTGCATTTCCCTGTGATCAACGTGTCATTGGACACGGCTGATCACGTGGTAAAAAGCCGCTGTGATTGGCCTTGTACTACATCACGTGATCAGCTGTGTCTGTAGGACACAGTGATCACGGAGACCGCCGAGTGCGCACCCCAGGGGGTGCACAGGAGAGCGTGTTCTGGGAGGACGTCATTAGACGCCCTCCCAGAACTGGCTGGCCGCAGTGCAGCCGTCATTCAGCTATCTGCAGTCGGCAACTGGTTAAAAGAATATCTGTTTACCCAACTATAAGGCTCCATGTACACGAACCTACCACCTGACCGCCGGCCACGGGAAACCGCAAATCACAGCAAAACTGCGGTACCGCAATTTTGCGTTTTTCCCGCGGTCGGCGGTCAAAATGTTCTAATCCTGAATGTGATTCTTCCGCATTCAGGAGAGGACGGTTTAACTTCACCTAAACGCAGCAGCTCCTAAACTCTGCTAAAAGCCTATGTGTACATGGACAGACAGGCTTTTATGGAGCTGATTTGAGGAGCTTTGGCAAGAAAAGTGCCAAAAGCTCCTAAACTCGCATTTAGGAGCTGCTCATGTACATGGGGTCTAAGAGTCCTTGTTCATGCATTTCCTATTTTGGGGTGACAACTGTCTCCCAGATGTCCTCCTGGATTGTCATTCTGTCACATTCACCCCCTGTATGACTACAGGTTGCCTTGTCAACACACATAGGCCAGGCATAGTCCACACTGTCACTATCAGGAAGCCAGTCCAAAGCAATGATGTGCAGCTGATGCTGGAGTGCATGAATGTAGACCGGAAGTAGCTGAAAAAGGCTTCCCTGGTCAGTGAAGGAGAAGCAGCACACTGATAGGTAATCACCCTGCTCTCTTCTTCTATCAATATGCACTTGTTAGCACATCTGTGCTTAAAGTGTTACTAAACCCAGGATCATGCAATCACTATATTTGGTCTCCCACAATATATGGAAGTGCAATTATTTTAATAAATATAATACCTTTTCTCATCAGCAGTGTATAGCAGCCTTGTGACTTCTATCAGTGACAGCAGAGGACTGGTTAAAGCTTGTAGGATGAGTTTTCTCTAGGAGGATGTAGAACCTCTGACCTCTGTCTGGGCAGTGCTGATTGACCCTGGCCTGCACTCTCCAAATAAAAAAAAAAAGATCTAGCAATACACACCAAGCTGAGCATGTGCATGCCTACGGTTCAGTCTTGAGAGGTGGTCGCTTGAAAAAGGGGAGGAACAGAGAAGTTAGGATCAAACATCCTTTTTACACAATGCAGAGGATTAACCCCTTAGATTCTACAGTGAGTATAACAGGCATGCTTTATTACATACAGACTGATTTTACTGTTGAGGGTTTAGTAATACTTTAAGCAAACCTGATGGCTCCCAGTGCTGCCCCACTTCTCTCAATCTGTACAGGCATTAGAACAGGCTAATTTCAGGTACTTACTCTGAATAGATTTAAGAATATACATTAAATGATATATTAATGAACACAGTGGTGCATTCATCTATTTTTTTTAGTTACTGTATTCACAAAATGTAGCTTTGAAGTGGTTTTAAAAATCACAGCATTTTTCTACCTTAAGGCAAAAAAAATCCCATGCTAAACTCCTAACCTGAGTCCTCTATTGATCCAACATCGTGGCCATCTGCATCTCTTCCCTCTTCACTCCTTGCTCTCACAGGAGGCTCTGAGATTAGTGGGAGCCATTGGATGCTGTTAGTCAGATCCTATGAAGAGGGAGTGGGGGTGTGGCTGAGTGGCACTGTGTGTAGCTATAGACATGCACAGCCCAGCTTGGGAGCACACCCACACAAGTGCCCCCAAAGCACTCAGCTTGCTATGGGGGCACTTGGAATAGAGGAAGAGTGGAGACCCCAGAAGAGGTGGTGCACAATGCAGGCAAGTATAACACCTTTTTAATTGCAGGAAAAAAAAAACCCTTTTCGAAGCCACATTATAATTTAACTTTTAACAAGCAGTTCGGAGAAGAACAATGTGCTAAATGCAGTAGTAGCCCAATGAATTTTAGCTTGCTAAAATTGAAAAGTGAGTGAAAGGGAAAATGTAGATAAGAGTTATTGCTTTCACTTTGCCTTGCTACCAATTTCCTGAACCAAAAATGATATTAAAAAGTGGCCTTCAGCCTCACAGATGCTAAACATCAAAGTCTTAAAGCAGACCTGCAGCCTAAAAACACTTCAAAGGAAATTTACTAATGTTGGAGTAGACAGAATCTGGAGCAGCTGTGAATGCATACTTCCTTTTCCTTCAACCATTCCCATCCCTAACTGGCCTCTTCTCCTAGGTGTCAGTCTTCAGCCGTCTTCATTGGCAGGTACTAGATGATGTCACTCCTGCACATGCGTAGGAGACTATCATCCAAGCACACATGGAAGACTGGGAACAGGCAGGTAGGTGTGTTTTATTGCAGAAGGGACATTGCACATTTCTTTTGAAATAAAAAGCCTGCCTGCTCGCTAGTTGTGACAGCAGAAGTTTAGTGCTGCTTTAACCAAACAAGCTGAAGACAGAAGCTGATTGGTTGCCAGGTTCTGCTCCAGGTTTTATAAATATCCCCATTATGCCCATTGGCATCTCCCCCTCACGCAATATTAAAAATCCACTTTTTTTCTTTATATGCTTTTATTTACTTTTTTTTTTTTAACCCACAACTTCTTCCATTATTGCATAGGTGCAAATGATTTTTGTGCCTCCTTATGCAGCATCCTGGGATAGCCATGTCAAGTATCTGAGAAGGTAACAGATCCCTGAATTGCAAGATCTTGTGTTGTGTCATCAGGAGGGTTTCTGTCTCTTTGCATTATTGATGATGAAGTTTTCCCCTTATGACTAAAAAAATGGTGGCACAGACTGAGACATTTTTTACAAGAATTGTAGACAATGCTGGATTCAATTATTTATAATATAGGAAGGACCTTTATCGAAAAATATCAGGATTTTTTGGCATGGGAGGGCAAAGTTCCTCTTTATCGAGTTCTATCAAGGTACCTTGTCTTTATCTGACATGAACGGTCTTCCCCACCTACTGTGGACAATACAGGATTCAATGTCCTTGTAAGTACATTTAGTCTTCATATTATTGGACATTTATAAAAGCCATAAGGATTTTTTTTGGCATGGTAGGGCGAAATTTCTCTTTAACAAATTATGTTAAGGTTTCTAGTCTTTATCTGACATGAACGGTCTTCACCACCTACTGTGGACAACGCTGGATTAAATGTCCTTGTTAGTATATTTATTCTTCATATTATTGGAGGACATTTATAAAAGCCATCAGGACTTTTTTTGCACGGTAGGGCGAAATTTCTCTTTAACAAATTATGTCAAGGTTCCTTGTCTTTATCTGATGTGAACAGTTTTCTGATCCTATTGCAGAAGACAATGGATTCAGTAAGCTTGTAAGTATATTTGTTCTTCATAATACTGTATTGGAGGACATTTATAAAAGCCATCAGGATTTTTTTGGCGTGGTAGGGCCAAATTTCTCTTTAACAAATTCTGTCAAGGTACCTTGTTTTTATCTGACATGTCCACAGTAGGTGGGGAAGACTGTTCATGTCAAATAAAGACAAGGTAACTTGACAGGACTTGTTTAAAGAGAAACTTCACCCTACCACTCCATAAACATCCCGGTGGTTTTTATAAATGTCCTCCAATACAGTATTTTGAAGAACAAATATACTTCCAAGCTCACTGAATCCATTGTCTTCTGCAATAGGTGCAGAAAACTGTTCACATCAGATAAAGACAAGGAACCTTGACATCATTTGTTAAAGAGAAATTTCGCCCTACCACGCCAAAAAAATCCTGATGGCTTTTATAAATGTTTTCAATAATATGAAGAATAAATATACTAACAAGGACATTTAATCCAGCATTGTCCACAGTAGGTGGGGAAGACTGTTCAACGCTGGATTCAATGTCCTTGTTAGTATCTTTTATTCTTCATATTACTTGAGGACATTTATAAAAGCCATCGGGATTTTTTTGGCATGGTAGGGTGAAATTTCTCATTAACAAATTATGTCAAGGTACCTTGTCTTTATATGACATGCAGTCTTCCCCACCTACTGTGGACAATGCTGGATTCAATGTCCTTGTTAGTATATTTATTCTTCCTGTTATTGGAGGACATTTATAAAAGCCATCAGGATTTTTTTTGGAGTGGTAGGGCAAAATTTCTCTTTAACAAATTGTTCATGTCAGATAAAGATAAGGAACCTTGACATAGTCTTCCCCACCTACTGTGGACAACGCTGGATTCAATGTCCTTGTTAGTATATTTATTCTTCCTATTATTGGAGGACAATTATAAAAGCCATCAGGATTTTTTTGGAGTGGTAGGGTGAAATTTTCTCTTTAACAAATTATGTCAAGGTTCCTTGTCTTTATCTGACATGCACAGTCTTCCCTACCTACTGTGGACAATGCTGGATTCAATGTCTTTGTTAGTATATTTATTCTTCATATTACTGGAGGACATTTATAAAAGCCATAAGGATTTCTTTTGCGTGGTAGGGCAAAATTTCTCTTTAACAAATTATGTCAAGGTTCCTTGTCTTTATCTGATGTGAACAGTTTTCTGCACCTATTGCAGAAGACAATGGATTTAGTGAGCTTGTAAGGATATTTGTTCTTCATAATACTGTATTGGAGGACATTTATAATAATCACCAGGATTTTTATGGTGTGGTAGGGTGACATTTTTCTTTAAATAAGTCCTGTCAAGTTACCTTGTCTTTATCTGACATGAACAGTCTTCCACACCTATAGATCTGACAATGAGCTGCTTTTAAAGGAACTGATTAAGTCATTATTTCTGATCACAGCTGGCTTTGTGAAATGTTGGAATAAACACAAAACTGTGTAAAGTCTTGAATTGAAGAGCCCTCAGTTGAGTTTTGCTTCTCTGACAGCAATTGTACAGATGATCACCCTGACTTTGTGTTGAGAAAAATTAGTTCTAAAGAATACTTGTAAGATTTGTCCATGTTTCCAAGGGACTGTGATCCATGCATGTAATTTTTCAAATTAATGACAAGACGTGGATAGAGT